CACCCGAAGAGGCCTGAGGATAGGAGAGCAGGCCAGGAGAGTTAGCCAGTGGTGCAGGTCCAGGGAAGCAGAGGGAGGTGAGGGCAGGGCCAGGTCCAGAAGCAGTCCTCCTGGAGCCCAAGGAAGGCACCACGCCTGTCCAGGTTAAAAGGATCAGGAAGCAGCACTGGCTCCCCAGGTGTCAAGGGCCCCAAGACTAGGAATGGCACAAGGCCCAAACCAGGAGCAGAGAACAGCGGGGGTGATGGAAGGTCGAATGAGGCCAGGGGAGTCAAGGTGTGGAGGGCTGCGCGATAGACCCACCCCAAGAGGCCTGAGGATAGGAGAGCAAGCCAGGTGTTAAGAGAGTTTTAATATAGTAATAAACCCATTCTAGTCTTGTCTGTGATTCATTTCTACTTAATGTTATAAGTATAAATCCTAGTTTCTTACATGTATAGTTTAATACATTTGAGAAAAATAGTAAATTCTATGTCTTTGTTAAAATATTAGAGGGCCCAAAACAATATTTTAGTAAAGACTTTTATTTGTTATATTGATTAATCCAACAATAACTCACTCATTTGGTACAGTTTGAAGAGCGTCATTGAGATATAATTGACAAACTGTTCAACTTATCCATTTGTTGTTCTTTGGTGTTAAAGATTGATCTTAATGGGGCTGGAGAGATGGCTCAGCAGTTAAGAACACTGGCTGTTCTTGCAGAAGACCGAGGTTCAAATCCCAGCACCCACATGGCAGCTAACAACTGTCCATAACTCCAGTTCCAGGGGATCTGACAGCCCCTTCTGTCCTCTGCAGGCATTGAATGACATGGGTGCACTTACCTACATGCAGGCAGTACATGCATACATAAAATAAAAAAAAATAATATTAAGATTGATCTTACGACTTTACACATGCTAAGCACATGCTAGGTACCTGCTGCACCACTGAGATACATTTCAGTCCCAACTGAGCCTTTTGTGATGGGAGTTGTGTTGGATATTGAACCTAGGTTTTGGGCATATATTCAGTCATTTTAAATATACAGTTCAAGCTGAGCGTGGTGCCTTTAGTTCCAGCACTCAGGAGGCAGAGGCAGGTGGCTCTCTGTAAGTTTGAGGCCAGCCTGGTCTACATAACAAGTTCAGGCCAGCTGTGGCTACAAGGAGTCCCTGTCTCAAAAAGACAAAAAAAAAAAAAAAACCAAAAAACAACAACCCCCAAAAAACAAACAAACAAAAAACCCCCAAACAAAAAACAAAAACAAATAAATATACAGTTCAATGGGTTTTGGAGCATTCAATTGTGATTTTTATTTTCTGAGGTAGTATCTTGCTGTGTAGCTCAAACTTTCAATTATCCTATCTCAGTCTCCCTAGTGCTGGGATTATAGGACTATGCCATCATACCTGACTTTAATTTTTTTAAAGTTGTGATAGTGCGTGCATGTGTGTGTGTGTGTGTGTGTGTGTGTGTGTGTGTGTGTGTGAGTATATCAAGTTATCACATTCATTGTATTCAGTTTACATAGTTATCACTATTTCCAAAACTTTTTTTATATTTATTATTTTTACGTGCATGAGTGTATTGCCTGCATGTATGTAGGTGCATCATGTCATGTAATGCCTGTGGAGGTCAGAAAAGGGCATTGGATTCCCCTGGAACTGAAGTTAAGAAGGTTGTCAGCCTCCATGTGTGTGCTGGGAATTGAACTTGGGTTCTCTGCAAGAACAGCCAGTGCTCTTAACTGCTGAGCTATCTCTCTAGCCCCTCCTAAAACTTTCTCATTACACTACACAGAACTCTGTAACTATTAAGTAATAATTGCCCATTCACCTTTTCCACTAGTTCTTGATAACCTCTAATGTGCTTTCTATTTTCACAAATTTGCCTATTCTAGATAGTTCATGTAAGTTGGATTATATAATGTTTGTCTTTTCATGTCTGGCTTATTTCATTTGGCATATTTTCAGTCTGTGACAGATTTTTGTTTTTTATATCTAAGCACTATTTCGTTGTACATCACATTTTGTTTTCTTACTCGTATGTTGGTAGACACTGGTTATCACTGCCTTTCGGCTGCAGTTGATGCTGGTATGAACAGTGGTTAATGCTGCAGTACTTGTGCAGTTATCTGTTGGAGTCTGCCTTCATTTTTTTGTGGGGGGCATATATATTTAGGAGCAGAACTGCTGGGTCATCTGTTTGTTCTTTGTTTATCTTTAAAAAACTTTTATTGAAGCTCACGTCTTTAATCCCAGCACTTGGGAGGCAGAGGCACTTGAATCTTTGTGAGATGAAGGCCAGATTGGTCTATGTAGTGAGTGCATGGCCAGCTAGGGATATAGGGAGACACTGTATCACAAAAACATAAACACTTAAAAAAATTTCCATTACATTTAATTAATTAGTTTGTTAGCAGTTAATTTGGGGAGCAGAAGTGCCTGCTGTGGTGCACATGTGTAGGTCAGAGGACAACTTAGAGCAACTGGCGAAAGATGTAAAAGGGCCATTCACAGAAGAGAAAGCCTGACTGGTTGGGCAAAGGGTGTACAGCTCAGTGCGAGAATTCTTTAGTAGATGAAAACTGTAAAGGTAAAAGCCAATGTGTTTAGATATGGAGAGAGCCTGGGTCCCTGAGCTGCTGTAGAAACTTTAGATCTAGATTCATACTGTGTGACAAGTTGAGCTACTGGGTTTTCCCTTGTCTGTAGCTAAACCCATTCCCTAACTCATTTACCCTCTTTGATTATTAATGTCTTCACAGGTATTAATTGGCATGAATGACTGATGATAAAAGGAATGTATAAAATATAAAGCTTCATAAATGTTATGACAATAAAGCAAGTATACTTGGTTGGGGACTGGAGCAAGATGGCTCAGTGGTTAAGTGCATTGATTGCTCTTGCAGAGGACCTAGGTTTGGTTCCCAGGACCCATGTGGAGGCTAACTGTTCATAACTCTTGTTGCAGGGGATCCAGTGCCCTCTTCTGGCCTCTGTGGTCATTGCCTACATGGGTATACTTACATGCAGGCAAAACACTTGTATACATAAAATAACTAAATAATTTTTTTTTATAAAAAATACTTGGGGATGGACATGATGGTGCACACCTTTAATCCCAGCACTCAGGAGGCAGAGGCAGGTGGATCTCTGTGAGTTCAAGGCCAGCCTGGTCTATATAGTGAGTTCCAGAACAGCTGGGGCTACAGGGAGACCCTGTCTTAAAACAACAACAACAAAAAAGTATACTTGGTTGATAATACTTTGAGATTTTGGTAATTGTAAATATGCTTGTATACATGTATGCATATGTATTTATATAATCTGTTTATTAAAAGTATAAGAATCTCAATATATTACCTTGTAATATTTAATGTTTAAACAATCGGCCTTATAAAGGTATAAATTTTATACTGAGATGTATTTTAATGTAGCTCATTTTCCTGGGGGGTTCTCACTGTGTAGCCCTGGCTGGCCTAGAACTCACTATATAGACCAGACTGGTCTAGAACTCACAGTGGTCCACCAGCCTCTGTCTCCGAAGTGATGGGATTAAACACATGAATCACCACATCTGCCCCCCCCTTTTTTAAATGAGAAAACTAAGACCTCTACAGGAGAAACTTATAACTTATCAGATTTACTAGTGACTAGTTTTCTGCATTTCACTTGTTTATTCCAGAGTGCAGCGTGAGAACCCTGAATCGAGTGCTACATGATGAAATTCTTAACAAACCCATGGAAACACTTAAGCTTGCCATTCCATCAGGGATCTATACTCTTCAGAATAATTTACTGTATGTGGCACTGTCAAATCTAGATGCAGCCACTTATCAGGTACTTAAAATATATTTTCAATAGTACTTTAAGAATCAATAAAACACCGGGTGTGGTGGTGCATGCCTTTAATCCCAGCACTTGGGAGGTAGAGGTAGGCTGATCTCTGTGAGTTCAAGGCCAGCCTGGTCTACATAGTGAGTTCCAGGACAGCTGGGGCTACAGGGAGACCCTGTCTCAAAAAGATTTTTAAAAACAGGTTAAAAAAAAAAAAAAAAGAAACAATAAAACACTAATAATACTGTTTTCTTTTCTAGGTCACATATCAGTTGAAAATTCTTACAACAGCATTATTTTCTGTGTCTATGCTTGGCAAAAAATTGGGTGTATACCAGTGGCTCTCCCTAGTAATTCTGATGACAGGAGTTGCTTTTGTACAGGTAACTATTCAAGATAAGTATGCCTTCCATTTTTATCACAGTTTGAAAGCTTTTATTTATTTTGTCTAGAGAATATAGTTCTATTATTTATTGAGGCAAATAAATGCTGACAGATATTTTTAATGATTTCCTTTGTGTAAGATACTACATTGAGACTGTAAATGATAGAAATAAATGAATAAATAAATTATTTGAACCAAAAAACTGAACAGTTGGGCTGGGGTGTAGCTCTCTGATAGAGCACTTGATTCTGTGCAAATGATCCTAAGTTTGGTTCCCAGTACCACACACAAAAAAAGTTTGTTTTACAGCCCTGGCTGGCCCAGAATTCCCTCTTTAGATCAGGCTGGCCTCAAATTTCTGGTGACCCTTCTGACTCTGCCTTCTTTTTGCTGCGAGTATAGGCAGGAACCATTATGCCTGGCTATTTTCTTAATTAATTAATTAATTAATTAATTATTGTGTGTATAAACACTGGTGTATGCATGTCACAGTGCACATGTGGAAGTCAGGACAACTTTCAAAAGGATTCTCTCCTACCATGTGGGTCCTGGGGATTGAGCTCAGGTCATCAGGTTTGGCAGCAAGCACCTCTACTCACTGAGCTATCTCACTAGCCCTGGAGCCCTCTTCTTGATATTCCCTTTAGGTAATGGGCATGTTTATGGACTTGCTGTTTCTCTTAAGTTATGCCCTCGTTTGTGGAGATCCACCTATTTTGGAGTTTTTTATTAACACCACAGGCTGATGACCCTTTAGTTGGTGTCATCAGCTCTGTTTATCAGTTGTAGTTTCAGATTTGTATATTGAAAAACCTATTGAATATCTTCACTTATTCAGTGGACCTTCTAAGCTCAGATTATGTAAAATTAAACTTTACTTCTTCCTCATCAAACCTGTTCGTTTCTATTTTTTTTCCCCAATCATTTACTCAACTTGGGGGTTGTTCTAGACTTTCTTCTGCCTTTATGTCCAGTCAGCCAGTAAAACCTTCCTGCGTTCTGAACCTGCTTGTCTGCCTCTCTCCTGACACTGACACTTCTCTAGTTAATGCTTTCCTTATTTCTTACATCTTTTCCTACTGATCTTTTATTTCATCCTCCCTCCCTGCCTTTCCCATTTAAATTGTCCCCCCCATTTCACCCTTGATGATTTTTTATATGCTATGGTCCCATCTCTTTTGAGCTCCTTCCCCTTTATTCCCACAGTTCTTTGTATAGCCCTCCTTCTCCCTCCCCCCTTTTAACTACCCCTTTTTTACACATTTCTCCCTTAGTAATGCCTGTCTTCTATTCTCTCTTGGGTTCCTTCTTTCCCTTTACCTCCCTGGTTACCTTCCATTTTCCTGGTTCCTACAGTTACATCAGGATATGCACTCACAAAATGGGGCTAGGATCCACATATGAGGGAGAACATATGTCTTTTGTTTTTCTGAGTCTGTTACTTCACTTAGTATAACAATTTCTAGATCCATCCACTTACCTGCAAATTTCATGATTTCACCTTTCTTTACTGCTGAGTAAAACTCCATTTTATAAATGAACCACATTTTCATTATCCACTCATCAACTGAGGGGCACTTAGGTTGCTTCCATCTCTTAGCTACTGTGAAAAGAGCAGCCACAAACATGGATGTGCTAGTATCTCTGCAATAGAAGAAATCCTTTGGGTATATGCCAAGGAGTGATATATATGGGTCATGTGGTAGGTTCATTTTTAGTTTTTTTTTTTTTGAACAGGGTCTCTCTGTAGACCCAGCTGACCTGGAACTCGCTATGCAGACCAGGCTGGTTTCAAACTCAGAGACTGCTTGCCTCTGCCTCTGCCTCTGCCTCCTGAGTGCTGGGATTAAAGGCATGCGCTACCACACCCAGCCTCATTTTTTGTTTTTTTAGGGCTCTCCACACTGATTTCCATAGGGGTTGGATGAATTTGCAATCCCACCAGCAATGGATGAGCATTCCCCTTTCTCCACATCTTTGTCAGCATTTGGTATCTTTAGCTCTCTTGATTTTAGTTAATCTGACTGGGGTAAGACAAAATCTTAAGGCGGTTTTAATTTGCATTTCTCAAATTACTAACAATGTAATTATTTGATTTTTAAAATAAAATAAATCTTTTAAAAAATTCTGATATCAGGGCTGGAGAGATGGCTCAGCGGTTAAGAACACTGGCTGTTCTTGCAGAAGACCTGGGTTTGAATCCCAGCACCCACATGGCAGCTAATAACTGCCTGTAACTCCAGTCCCGGGGAATCCGACAGCCTCTTCTGTCCTCCGCGGGCATTGCATGACATGGGCACACTTACCTACATGCAGGCAATACACACATACACATAAAATAAAAATAAATAAAATATTAAAAAAAATTCTGATATCTGGGATGGAGAGATGGCTCAGCGGTCAAGAGCATTGGCTGTTCTTTCAAGGACCCGGGTTTGATTCCCAGCACTCGCATAGTGGCTTACAACCATCTGTAACTCCAGTTCCAGTTCCAGGGGATCTGATGCTCTCTTCAGACTTCCAAGGTTGAACACTTTTTGAGATGTTTCTTAGCCATATTGATTTCTTCCTTTGAGAACTCTGTTTAGATCTTTAGCCCATCTTTTAGTTGGGTGATTTGTTTTTTTGATTCTTTGTTTTTTGAGTTCTTTATATATTTTGGATGTTAAACCTGTCAGATGTGTCACTGGTGAAGAATTTTTCCCACTCTGGGTTTTTTCTTCACTTTCTTGATAGTTTTTTTTTTTTTGCTATACAGAAGCTTTTTAGTTTAATGATGTCCCACTTGTTGATTCTTGACCTTAATTCCTGAGCAACTGGTATCTGATTTAGAAAGTCCTTTCCTTATCTATATCTTGTAGGTTACTGCCAATGTTTTCTTCTAACAATTCCAGAGTTTCCAGTTTCACATTGAGGTCTTTGATCCATTTGGAGTTGACTTTTGTGCAAGGTGAAAGATAAGGATTTAATTTCATTCTTCAGGTGGAGATCCAGTTTTGCCAGCACCATTTGTTGAAGATGCTATCTTTCCTCCATTGTGCGTTCTTAGCACCTTTGTCAAGTAGCAGGTGGCTGAAATTGCCTGTACTCAGATTTGGGTCTTCTTATGTTCCATTGATCTGTGTGTCTATTTTTGTGCCAATACCACAGTGTTTTTATGACTATAGCTCTGTAGTACACTTTGAGATCTGGTATAGTAATGCCCCCAGCATTGCTCTTTGTGTTCTGGGCTGCTCTGGCTATCTGGGGCCTTTTGTGATTCCAGATGAATTTAAAGATTTTTTTTTTCTAATTCTGTGAAGTATGTCATGAAGATTTTGATTGAGAGTGCACTGAATATATATATTGCTTTTGGTAGGATGGTCATTTTCACAATATTAATTCTTCTAATCCATGCACATGGGAGATCCTTCCATCTCCTGGTGTCTTCCTCAATCTCTTTCTTTAAGGATTTAAATTTTTTGTTGTAGAGATCTTTAATGTCTCTGGTCAGGTTTATTCTGAGGTTTTTTTTTTTTTTTGTGGCTATTGTGAATGGGAGGGTTTCCCTGTGCTCTTTCTCTGACTGCTTATCATTGGTATATAGAAAGGCTATAGACTTTTGGAGGTTAATTTTGTAACCTGCCACTTTACTGACAAGAGAAGGGGAGTGTTTACATGTACACTTTCTCTGATTGCTTGTTATTGGTATGTAGAAAGGCTACAGATTTTTGTAGATTTTGTAACCTGCCACTTTACTGAAAGTGTTGATCAGTTCTAGGAGTTTTCTGGTGAAACTTTTGGGATTTCTTAGATCTAGTATCATATCATCTACAAAAAGGACTAATCTGACATATGCCTGCCACAGTGCTCTTGTTGGAGACCAGAGACAACTTGCGGGAGTTGGTTCTCTCCTTCCACCATGTGGGTCCTGGGGATAGAAGTCAGGCTGTCAGGCTTGGTGGCAGGTGTCCTTACCCACTGAGTTATCACACTGGCCTCTTCAATGTTATTTTTCTTTTTATTCAGTGGCCTTCTGATTCTCAAGAGCTTGATTCCAAGGAGCTTTCAGCTGGCTCTCAGTTTGTAGGCCTCATGGCAGTTCTCACAGCATGTTTTTCAAGTGGCTTTGCTGGAGTTTATTTTGAGAAAATCTTAAAAGAAACAAAGCAGTCGGTATGGATAAGAAACATTCAGCTTGGTAAGTTTTAAAGGCTTTCTAATATCTATTTTTTAAACAAGTACCCTCATCAGGTATGGTGGTGCTTACTCTGATCCCGAGCTTGAAGCCAGTTGGGCTGCAAAGAGACCCTTTTTTGAAAAAGAAAGCAGAAAAAGATTATGTTATTACATTTACAGATTTCTATTAAGTCTTTAAGTGCATAAGCCTTGCATAAAAATCTGCTGGTGGTACAAATGGTGATGATTTTGCTTTTAGAAAACCATTTTAAATGAATTCCTTGTATACATGATATGGGATTTTAGGGTGATGACATCCCAGTGTAGGCTGCTCCTGTCCTCAGCTTTGGAGCCTTAGTGTGTTGCTCCAGGTTGCATCTTCCTTCATAGAAGATGCTGCAAAGATCCTATGTATTTTACTCCTCAATTGAAAGAAGATGGAAATGATGAAATTTTCATCTCCTGTAAAGTCATAACATGCTGTTTTATTTTAGTGATATGTTTTGGCTCTTAATTACCATAGCCTTTTTCTTTTTTGGTCTTTTTGAAACAGGGTCTCTCTTATAGCCCCAGCTGGCCTGGAACTCACTATGTAGACCAGGCTGGCCTTGAACTCACAGAGATCCACCTGCATCTGCTTCCCAAGTTCTGGGACTACAGGCGTACGCCACCACACCCTGCACCATATCCTTTTTCTAACTGAAGGTAAATAGCTAAGAAGAAGAAAGAAAATCCATGTGTTGTAGGATTGCTTTTGGACGAATATTTAAATTCTTTACAATACTGTTGCTAAGTGCTCATGTAAGGAGTCTGACGTTTATTATGCCTGTTTTTTTAAAAATTTTTATTATTTTTATTTTATGTGTATGCATGTATTGCCTGCATGTAGATAAGTGCACCTATGTTGTGCAATGTCCACAGAGGTCAGAAGAGGCTGTCGGATCCCATGGGACTGGAGTTATGGACAGTTGTTAGCTGCCATGTGGGTGCTGGGATTCAAACCTGGGTCTTCTGCAAGAACAACCAGTGTTCTTAACTGCTGAGCCATCTCTCCAGCCCTATTCCTGGTTTATTATCCATCTTGGATAGTACTACATATACAAGTGTATGTGAGAAGTGACTCATTTCAGATTGGCATCTTCTGTTTTAAGCCTCTGTCCTTGGGTCTTTGATGCCTCTAAAAATATTTTGCCCCACAATTTGTATCAACAGATTCTCTCTCTCCCTCCCCCCGTCTCCCTCTCTCCCCCTCCCCCCTTTCCTTTTTAGACAGGTCTCACTGTGCAGCTCTGGTTACTCTGGTACTTGCTATGGAGATCAGTCTGGCCTCAGACTCACAGAGGTCTACCTGACTCTGCCTCTCAAGTGCTGGGATTAAAGGTGTGCACCACCATACCTGGCAAAGGCAAATTTTTTTTGGTGGGGGGTCCTTTTTGAAACAGGGTCTTTCTATAGCCCTAGCTGGCCTGGAACTCACTATGTAGACCAGGCTGGCCTTGAACTCACAGAGATCCGCCTACCTCTGCCTCCCTAAGTGCTGGGACTACAGGTGTGTGCTACCACACCCAGCCATGCAAATATTTTTAAAGCAAAATTTGATTCAATTCATTTAGCCTGTCTAGAACACAAATCCTCAGACTTGAAAGCATTAAACAGTTTAATGTGCTGTTTCATAAAGAATGCATCTGTAACAATGGTCAAGAAACCTTGGGATTGGCTGGGCATGCTGGAAGTCATACTGCTCAAATCATGAGTTCATCACTTGCCATCTATGTGACCTCAGAGAAGTTACTTTACCTTCCTGTGCCTCACTTTCCTTATCTATAAATGTAGTTCATAACTATCTATATCTATATCATTCCTTATCTATAAAATGTAGTTCATGTGTTGCTATGAGGAGTAAATGAGAGTAGTCATGTGAAGTGTTTAGAATGAAGTACCTTAAATATACATGTGGAAAGCACTGATGTTAGGTATATAGATATGCAAAGAGAAAACAATGAAAGAAATAGTCAAGGTTTCTGCAGGCTACTTAAAAGTTTCTTGAATTGCATAATAAAAATGGAGGACAAGACAGAATTTATGATCCTAGGGTGTTTGGGGATTTCTTATTCTTTGGTTTGACATGATAGAGCATTCTTGGAAAAAGTGGCACGCTGACTGAATTTTAAAAGAGTACTTACAAGTTACTGACAATTTAAGATTATAAAAATTAAAACAGTGCAATAACATTTTTTAATATCAAATTGTCAAAGACTAGCAAATTCTTAAGATCAAATGTTAGCCAGCAAGTAGGAAAACAGGAGCTTTATGTCGTGTGGTTGCCAAGAAATACATTGATATAACCTCCTTGGATCTCCATTTGGAAATGCTCATCAAATTCTTAAATAAATGTAGGCTTTGATACAAGAATTCCACATCTGAATAAAAATTTATCCTTCAAGAATAAAACAGAGCTGGGTGTGGTAGTGCATGCCTTTAATCCTAGCACTCTGGAGGCAGAGGCAGGCAGATCTCTGAGTTTGAAACCAGCCTGGTCTACATAACGAGTTCCAGGGCCAGTGTCCATAAAGCATTTGGAACAACACAAATGATGTACATATTTGATACTGTCATCCAGACAGTGGAATATTAGGCCACCTCTAGAATGTAGTAGCAGGCCTTTATACAGACATGATACACATGTCTGCTTGTGTGCTGTTAGTCAGCTTTGTGTCTCTATACAAACACCTGAGATGAATTAGTTTGTAAAGAGACAAAGTTTATTTTATCTTAAAGTTTTGGGAGTTTCAGTTGATGGTCACTTGGCCCCAATGGGTATGCCTCCTATGACCTGAGACCTCCCACTAAGCCCCACCTCTTAAAACTTTTACCACCCCTTGCCCAATAATGCCACAGAGAGAGACCAAGTCTTAATACTTAGGCCTTTGGAGGACATTTTAGCTCCAACCTGTAACATATGTGTTTTAGTAATTATCAAATGTTACCTTTTTTTTGGTCTTTTGGTCTCTCTGTAACCCGAGCTGTCCTAGAACTCACTATGTAGATCAGGCTGGCCTTGAACTCACAGAAATCCGCCTGCCTCTACCTCCCAAGTGCTGGGACTACAGGCGTGCACCACCACGCCCGGCCAAATGTTACCTTCTTTAAAAAATTAAATTTAAAAAGTTGTGCCTTGGGGCTGGAGAGATAGCTCAGAGGTTAAGAGCAAGAGCACTGACTGCTCTTGCAGAGGACCTGGGTTCGATTCCCAGCACCCACATGGCAGCTACAAACCGTCCTTAACTCCAGTTCCAGGGGAATCCAAAGCCCTCTTCTGACCTCCGTGGCATTGCACAACACAGGTGCACTTGCATACATGCAGGCAACACATTCATACACATAAAATAAAAATAATAAAATATTTTTTTAAAGTTATTAAAAAGTTGTGCCTTAAAGCATTTTTTAAAAGTCATGTTCCATGGCTAATTTTATGTTAATCTAATGTTTAAAAATTAGAAACATTAAAACCTTAGGGCTGAGATAAATGAACTTTTTATATTTCACACACTTTATTTTAAAAAGTGGGTAGTGACGTGCTGATACCTGAGGGAAGGGCCTTTTTGTCACTTTTCATTGTATCTAGCTTATTCAGGGAAGATAAAATAGAATTTCCTAGCACCCTCTTTGACTGCATATATTCTAAAGATGTCACATAAGAGGTGGCCCTTTAGATGTCAATAGGCCAGTGATGCTCCTGGAATTCTTAGCTCAGTTGTTTGTGGGCTGTATTCTGGAGATGAGGAATTCAGTAGTGAATTTCTTCGAGCTGTTTCCCTAACAGTGAGTCTTTAGGAGGAAATACAGATTCTGATGTTGGCTTGGCCTAATTCTTAACCTGGAATTTTATATATATATATATAGTATTGTACTTTTTAAACATTTGGGGGTTTTGTTGTTTGTTTTGTTTTGAGACAAGGTCTCCCTGTAGCCCCAGCTGGCCTGAAAGTCGCTATGTCGACCAGGCTGGCCTCTATCTCACAGAGATTTGCCTGCCTGTGCCTCTGAGTGCTGGGACCACCATGCCTTACTGTACTTTAAAATTTCTGAATATGGAGGAAATGCTATGTCACATGTGTGAGCTTTTGTATTATGTGTATATGAATGTAACAAAAATATGGTACCACTGGGCCCACGCCTTTGATCCCAGCACTCAGGAGACAGAGGCAGGCGAATCTCTGAGTTCAAGGCCAACCTGGTCTACAATAGTGAGTTCCAGGCCAAAAGGGCTACAGGGAGACTGTTTCAAAAAGACCAAAAAAAAGTGGTACCAATAGGAAAACACAAGATACAATGATCTGTAAAGGCAAGCATTTTACAGATACTTGAATAGAACAATATAATTGTGTAATTTATAAATATATTAGTATTAAAGTGTTCTGAGGTTGGTAAACTATTTTAAAAATATTCTTATGTCTGTCTGCTTATATATTTGTTTTGTAGTCATAATATTCTGTATACTTTTTTATATAAATCAAGTAAGATATTTAAAAGTATTCAATTTTCATCAAAAAGAAACAATTAAGGTGGGGAGGGTGGTATAAGCTGTAATCCTAGCACCCGGGAGACCAAGGCAAGAGGAGCAGGAGCTCCAGCCCAGCTTGTGCTACATGGTGTGCACCTGTGACTGAGAGGTGGGAAGGGGAAGGGGGCAGATGAAAAAGGATAAAGTTCATTGTATTGTCAACAGAAAAAAATGTCTCTTCAGAAAAACTGATACATGACCTAGATTTCACTTTCTTTTAGGTTTCTTTGGGAGTATATTTGGATTGATGGGTGTATATATTTATGATGGAGAATTGGTATCAAACAATGGATTTTTTCAAGGATATAATCAACTGACATGGATAGTTGTTGTTCTTCAGGTAAAGCAATAAGGTCTTTTGCTTCAATATAGAGAAAGTGGATACTGACGTGCTGATACCTGAGAGAAGGGTCCTTCTTGTCGCTTCTCTCATTGTATCTAGTTTATTCACGGAAGATAAAATAGAGCTGGTCCTAATGCCTAATGAAAACTGATTTTTAAAAAGATCATGAATGAAACTCAATGGTATTTAAATTTAACACTGTGAAAGACAAGATTAAGAAAAAGTAGGTCAGGCGTGGTAGCGCATGCCTTTAATCCCAGCACTCAGGAGGCAGAAGGAGGTGGATCTCTGAGTTCAAGGCCAGTCTGGTCTACAAAGTGAGTTCCAGGACAGCTGGGGCTACAGAGAGACCCTGTCTCAAAAAAGTCCAAAAAAAAAAAAAAAAAAAATAGTGAACGTTAGTCCCAGCCCTAGGGAGGCAGAGGTAGGCAGATCTCTGTGCGTTTGAGGCTAGCATGGTCTACATAGTGAGTTCCAGGCCAGCTGGGGCTACAAGGGAGACCATGTCTCAAAAAGACCAAAACAAAAAAACAAACAAAAACAACAAAAAGAAATAATGAAAGTTGGGGCTGGAGAGATGGCTTAACAGTTAAGAGCACTGACTGCTCTTGCAGAGGACCTGGGTTCAGTTCCCAGCACCCACATGACAGATAATAACTGTCCATACTCCAGTTCCAGTGAATCTGATGCCCTCTTTTGTCCTCCATGGGCACTGCACGACACGGGTGCACTTATACACATTCAGGCATAATACTCATACATGTGAAGTAAAAATTGAAAAAAAAAAAGTAAGAACCTTCATCTATTGAAACAAGTGATGTTTACTTGCTAAATTGGGTGAGGATAGATTTGTTTTGTAATTTATCAAATTCTGTTACAACAAATTTAAGATTGCTTGAATAATTACTTTGAAAGCTTTGAAACAAAACTAGATGTCTATTGGTTATGTGTCTAATATTAATTCATTTACTATAATGGAATTACTTTTTTGTTTTTTTGTCTTTTTGAGACAGGGTCTCCTTGTAGCCCCAGCTGTCTTGGAACTCACTATGTAGACCAGGCTGGCCTCAAACTCACAAAGATCCACCTGCCTCTGCCTCCCAAGTGCTGGGATTAAAGGCGTGCACCACCACGCCCAGCTTGGAATTACTTTTATAAAACAAAAATCTTAAAGCTTCTCTGAGTAATGAAATTGTTTTGAAAAGCAGTTTTATATTGGTTAAAAAAAAATCTCTTAAAACTTTTACAGGCCCTTGGAGGACTTGTGATAGCTGCTGTTATCAAGTATGCAGATAATATTCTAAAAGGATTTGCAACGTCCTTGTCCATAATATTATCAACACTCATATCCTATTTTTGGCTACAAGATTTTGTGCCAACCAGGTAAAATACTGTTTTCTATTTCTTCTTTTTTCCTTTTCATTCTTTCCTTTTTCAAAATAAGGTTTTTTTCATTTATTTTTATTTTCTGTGTATGAGTGTATTGCTTGCATGTATGTAAGTGCACTGTGTCATGCAGTGCCTGAAGAGGTCAGAAGAGGGCATGAAGAGGGCGTTGGATCCACTGGAACTTGAATTATGAGTGGTTGTTAGCCTCTGTGTGGGTACTGGGAATTGAATCCAGGTCCTTTACAAGAACAACCCGAGCTCTTAACCAACTCTCCAGCCCCATTCTTTCCTTTTTTTTTTATCTCCTTGTAGCCCCAGCTGGCCTGGAACTCGCTATGTAGATCAGGCTGGCCTCGAACTCATAGAGATCTGCCTGCCTCTGCCTCCCAAGTGCTGGGATTAAGGCATGCGCCACCATGCCCAGCTTCATTCTTTCCTTTTTATATGCCTTGTTTTGTTTGTTGGTATTACCATGATTCCATTTTCTAAAAGTTTATTAAGTATCCACCATGTGTCTGCTGGATTCTAGACAAAAAGGAGTGTATGAATGAGACAGTTGTGCTCCAGGAGATGACAGAAAAGCAGGGAAAAATAGACACATGATAAATTATAATATTATGGTCAGTATAGCAATGGAAGTATATACATAGTTCATTAGGGAGGGGCTTAAATCTGTGAAAATATCATTAGCATGATAGGTTTCTCTTGTTTACAGTCATGAATGAAGAGTACATAGGTTAGCAGGGGAACAGAGATGTGAATAATGCAGTAGTTAGTAACAGTGTGATAAGTAGGGGAGTGATTCTGCCTGGGAGTGAGTCTTTATATGCTTCTCGATAGAAAGGAAATTGTGGGTGCAGGGAATAGCATCTACCATGACAGTGTCATGCAAGATACATAGAGTCAGATGGCTGAAATTATAGGTTGGGCAGGAAGAGTCCAGAGGATGATGTTGGAGGGAACACGTTACCACAGGCTTCTAACTGGGCACTTTATTCCTGAGGCGAGACAGGAGCTTCATGAGTTTGAGGCCAGCCTGGGCTACATAGTGGGACACTGTAACAAAATAATACAAAACAAAAGGGTAAGGATTAATGATCCTTTTCCTTTTAGGTTTTTTTTTTTTTTTTTTTTTTTTGGGGGGTTTTTTAATGTTAAGGGTAATGGCTTTGGACTGTTAATAGAAATCTTAAAGCCAAAAGTAGATCCATGTCTCTAATAGCCCTTTTACAATGAATATTAAAAGTATCAACTGGGAGTCTGGAGAGATGACTCAGTGGTTAAGAATACTGGTTGCTCTTGCGAGGACCCAGGTTCAGTTCCCAGCCCCACATGGTGGCCAGTAGCCATTTGTAACTCCAGTTTCAGGGGATCCGACAACCTCTCCTGGCCTTCATGGGTATTGTACACACATGGTACACTTACATGCAGGTGAAACCTCATACACATAAAATACAAATAAAAATTTATTTATTTATTTATTTTTGTCTTTTTGAAGCAGGGTCTCCCTGTAGCCCCAGCTGTCCTGGAACTCACTATGTAGACCAGGCTGGCCTTGAACTCACAGAGACCGACTGCCTCTGCCTCCCGAGTGCTGGGATTACAGGCATGCACCACCATACCGGCAACAAATAAAATTTTTTAAAAAATATTTTATTTTTATTTTATGTGTATGAGTATATTGCCTGCATGTAAGTGTACCTGTGTCATGCAATGCCCGCAGAGGTCAGAAGACAGCATTGGATTTCTCTGGAACTGGAGTTACTGATGGTTGTTAGCTGCCATGTGGGTGCTGGAAATTGAACCCAGGTCCTCTACAGGAACAGCCAGCGCTGAATCATCTCTCCAGTCCCAAATAAATTTTTAAAAATAATAATTGGTAGTCTAAGTTCATTTCCAGCTAATACAAAGTCCCTTACATCTGCACATACACAGAATAAAGAGAAAAGCAGGAATTCCTTGGATTTCATCTAATTTCCTTTTTTGTTGTTGTTTTACTGTTTTTTTTTTGTTTGTTTGTTTGTTTTGAGGCAGGGTCTCTCTGTAGCCCCAGCTGGCCTGGAATTCACAAAGATCCACCTGCTTCTGCCTCCTGAGTGCTAGGATTAAAGGCATGTGCCACCATGCCCAACTTCTAATTTCCTTTTGTTAAACATTCTGTAAAAAATTGGTCCTGAGTTTTGGTTGTCATTTCCTTGGATTTCAAACTGAACTTACCTAGGTTTAACATAAAGGAATGAAAATTTCGTTTTACAGTTTCAAGTTGCTAAATACTTGAGACCTTTTGTAACTGAATGACTTATGTACAGAATGTGTGTGTAGGTGAAATACTGAAGTGAGAACATCTTTGTTCTGGGAGTTTGTGCACCAGATGACAAGCAGGTTCTATAGCCAGTGTCTGCATCCAGATACTGCCTTTCAGTTATTTGGGACTTTTGACAAATTATGTATAGTCCTTTAAGTCCATTTCCTCATAGGTACAAAGAGAAGTGAATACCAGCACTTGATCCAGTAGTTCTGAGAACTAGATGAGCTTTTGCCTGTAAAGCACTCAGCCAAGTACCCAAAACTCATTTGTCATGTTACTTAGAATAGTTCTCTCCCCAAATTGCAATTTGTCTTATTGTACAGGTATAGGAAGAACTTGATTTGCCCTTAATCTGACTTTCTCTTTTGTTTTCCTTCATCCTGTTTAGTGTCTTTTTCCTTGGAGCCATCCTTGTAATAGCAGCTACTTTTCTATACGGTTATGATCCTAAACCTTCAGGAAACCCCACTAAAGCGTAGTCACGTACTATCATCTGGTTTTTCACGATGGTGCCCTAGGAATCGCAACGTTAATCTTGCACAGAAGACTTCTCCAGATTCTGTGAAGATATCATCATGCTAAACCTGATTGTACTGTTCAAATGGTTTGAAGTGTGCAAGCTTCAGGATTAAATATGTATACACTATCTGGAAATCAAACTTGAAAGCATTTCCAGGGACTAGGATTAGAAGGAATACTGGGAGGAAACTTGAAGTTTAAGTTTATAAAGAGTTTACCTTTTTGATTGCTGCAGAATTGTCCTATGCACTCTTTGCAAGAGCACACAAATGTCAAATACCAATTTTTGAAAGTTAGATCTACTTACTCTTACTAAATTTTTAAAAAAATCTTACTCTTTCTGTACAGGTATATCAAATCACACGGAATATTCAAAGCTTGAAACTTACGGTTGCCTATAAAGCTGTGAAAAAACAAATATGATTTTAAAACATTTTGATGTATTTGAAATTTTTATATTCATACAGAAGATTGCTACGCAAAGATTGCTAAATGTTATTTGTTCAATTATATAAAATATTCTGGGTCCGATTTGTCATAGAATAAAATTCATATTTAAATTCAGTGCATAGAGAATCTATTTCTCCATGTATATCTTCAGACCTCTTAGTGCTTTGAGACAGCTGAATGCAATCCAACTTCCTATGCCACGAAGCCAGTGACTCTTACACTAGTGGAGCTTTATCTTTAGTTTCCTAGTGTACTTCTTTTCCACAAATAAGAGAAATCTTTAACATTATCTTAAGTTGAATTTGTGGGTGTTGTCATTAAAAAGTTTAAGTGAATTTAAAGGGATGAAATATACATTTAATGTTTGAAAATAATTATTATTGCCTAATATTTCCATGTGGAGAAATCAGAACTATTAAGCATATACTGTATACAATATAAATTTTTTAAATGGAGAATTTACTCATTGATCTATAGCAGGAATGTTCTTTAATCTGCAACTTTTGATAAAAACAACAACCAAAAAATAGTAATACACATGAGTGACCAAGAGCAAACTGACTTTCTTATAGACATTCCCTGCTGCTGTGCTGCATTCTTCCAAATGGCATCTAACTTTTAAGTTCAAAGGCTGCTTAGGAGAACTCTTTGGGTCTCTCATAAGCCTGCTATCCCCAAGAATACTCTGATCATGTGACTGGAAGAGGTGGTTAAATTCTGAGTTCCCTTTCTGTGTCCCCATAAGAGCTGCTGGGAAGGAGCCACCATTTGCTTTAAAGTAGTGGGTTTTCTTTCTTTTTTAACACTGGAGTTGAGGGTGCAAATTATATGACCTATTTAATAAGCTGATTCAAAGAAGAGAGGAGATATTAAGAAATAGTAAGATGAGGTGGGAGGCAAAAATGCTTTCTATACTTGGAATGTAGGTTTAATTTAATTATTGACCATAAGCAGAATTACCTACTGAGTATGAGAAGTATTTTACTTTACTTTTTCATTTATATTGTATATATTTTAAAAATCTGTTCTAATGTAAGAACAGATAAGATATAAAGCCTTTATAAGATATAAAACCTATAAAAAGATAACTATTTTTGTGTAGTTCAAATGGATTTTGTTAAATAGGGTTTTCTCGAAAGTACCATTGTTGAGAACTGCTGAGTACAGTTGGCTAGTTGAACTGACTGTTGTACTTTGCTAATGCAAACACAGTTACACGCCTAATCAGCTCCATTCAAAGTTTTAAAGTACTTAAAATTACAAGACCTTTAAAATCAGTTTGCTGGTGATAACAAAATGATAGTAAGCAAAATTTCTGAATTCCATATTTATGATTTTCAGTGGCTACCTTTTAGAGTATTTGATAACTACTATATTTTGAGTGTGGTGTTTGAAGACTGCCACAACACTCAGACCCATGTCCTATTATTACTCACTACTGTGAGAAACCAAGGCTTGCAAACACACAAAGTTCAAGACTAAAGATGGATGTTCAGCTCACATAAGTATTGTTTGGGCAACTGTGTTTTAATACACTGTGAATTCACAATTAATGATAATTTAGATCTACCTGTTTTAACCCTTCAAAAATTTATGAGTGGGCTAGGTGTGGTGGTACACACACCTTTAGTTCCAGAGGCGGCGGATCTCTGTGAAATCTAGGCCAGCTTGGTCTACATAGTGAGTTCCAGGCTACCTAGGGCTATAGGGAGACCCTGTCTCAAAACAAAACAAAACAAATTTGTACAAGCAAGTTATTGGATATTAGGTTTGTTAAAGTAACAGGTACATTTTAGGTATCTAAAAATCCCACAATTTTCAAGATTCTTAATAAAGTTTATAAAAATGTAATTAAGAATTATGAAGTATATTGTCAAAGCAAGCTTTTATTAGGCATCATTTTTGTTTTTCTCTTCTAGTAGGTTTGAAAATGCCATTGGGCTATATGGTTTATATAAGGTAAAAAAATCATATTTGAAAAAGTGGGCTTGTATCCTAGATTGTGTTATATATACAGAGATTGAAATTTTGTGTATTGTGGTTTGTGTTTTGATGACTTTCAAAGGTATTACTGTGTCAACCTTTTATAATGATAACTTCTTGATTATTTAAATTTTTATACTTTGTATACTTGTTATCTCTTAACTGCTTTCCTCTATGTGAAATGTGTTGGGAAGAGAATAGTGCCAATTGATAGCTCTTTTAGAAATGAAGACCATGGCCCTGGAAGAAGAGTTTGAAATGCAGCAGGTAGATTTTTTTTCAAGTTACTTTTATGATAGTATAGAGTTTAAAGATGCAGAACTTGAATGTTTACATCAGTTTATCTCAAATGCCACAGAATTTCATAGAAAGGAAAAAGCAGTTCTATATTTCAACTAGATTCTACTGAGTCTAAAAGGAAATTAACATTTTGAACTTCTATACACTTAAGTGTAATATTGAATATTCTCACATATCAAATTAGACTTTTAAAATGTCCTTGTACAGTCATTCAACTGTACAATGAGATATTTTCCCCTCTTCAACTGAGATATTTTTAAGAGTTTAGCATTATTCATTTTATTTAAACATTCATTGTAAAAATATTTAATTACAGTAGATGTATACTTTACATGAGATTTCTAAAAAAAGTATTTATTTTAAGACTTATTTTAAGACTCTCCAAGATATTTACAGTAGTTATAGGGCCAAAGAAAATTCACCTTTATCACATTCTGGTCCTGTGTGCCTTGCTTTACCAAATACCTGACTTTTGTGGAGAATATTTCTGCCATTCACAATTTTGGACACATGGGCAAAATCAGGATTTTTTTTTTTTTCAAGAATAACAGAATATCTGTAATTCTAGCCTTGGTTATTTTAACATTTGCTCTTTTTTCCTAGCATAATCCCAGCACTTGGAAGGTGAGGCAGGTGAATCTCTTGAGTTTCAGACCAGTGAATTCCCAGCCAACCAAGGATATCTAGTGAGGCCCTGTCTCAAAACCACAATAACGTCAAAACCCAAAACCCAAACAAAATAGTAAAACAGGCTTCATATAAAAGCATTAGTAAACAGTATTTACTTAAATAAATTGTGGCACCATAATTCAGGTTTTGAAACTTTTTAACAGTTGTATATAAGGGACATTTTGGTGTTTCATTTCTTATATAACATAATTTACTGTGATTTAAGACAATATTTTAAAAATTATTTGGATACTAAATTTATCTGTATTTCATTTATTTAGAATGATACTTTTGGGTTTGGGAATGTGATTTGTATGTTAAATTTTTTTATGGATATAATTCAAAGGAATGTATAAATTGGTCTTTTGTTAAGTGGCTTTTTAATTGATAAATTTCTCATGTGGTTTTTTGGTATCTATTATTATCTATATTTAATAGATAAGGGAAATAGATTATTTTCATAAATAATTATATAGATTTTCCCCATATTTTCTTGTTTTCCTTTTTACCCGTGTCTGATTTATCTATGGATTAGTTATATATATATATATAAATCACAAATGAATTGCTAATGTTTATCTCTCTGTACATTTTTTTTGAGACAGGGTCTCATTGTGTAGCCCTGGAGATCGCTATGTAGACCAGACTAGCCTGTGCTTTCTATGTATTGGGCTTAAAGGTGTGTGCCACCACTCCCAACTCTTGGTAACTTTAATTAGGTATAATTTTGCTTTCTTTTCTGTAATCTGTGTTTAAGCAAGAGACTGGATTTTATTTAGTCCAGTTAGAATTTTTCTACATATATGATGATTAAAGCCTAGAAGTGTTTTGTTTTGGAGAAAATACGCCTTTCATGGTTGAGTACAGTAGCTCAGGATACATTTTCTTACTGCTTGAATATAATTGCTTCTACAGTGACTCTCAGTTTGGTACATAAAGATCAACTGTAATAAACAGCATACGGATTTTATTTATACTTCTACTCTGAAATAACCATACACAAAATACTTCATTTTAAGAGACCCCAAAGAAGCTGGGTATGGTGGTACACTCTAATTCTAGCATGCAGGAGGCAGAGGCAAGTGAATCTTTTGTAAGATGGAGGCCAGCCTGGTCTACATAGCAAGTTCCAGGCCAGCTGGGGCTGCAAGAACTTGTTTCAAAAAAACAAAAACAACAAAAAAAGAGAGACCTCAAATACAGAAATGTCAGCATTTTAGTTTGTTTTGTTTTTAAATTTTTATTATTTCTATTTTATGTGTATGAGTGTTTTGCCTGCATGGATATAAGTGCACCATGTGTATGCAATGCCCACAGAGGCCAGAAGATCCCCTGGAACTGGAGTTACAGATGGTTGTTAGTCATCATATGGGTGCAAATCCTCTTGACTGCTGGACCATCTTTCCAGGGAAGGAGCAGGGAATGTGATGGTGGGAGGCTTTTTTTTTTTTTTTTTTAAAGACAGGATTCTGGTGGTCTGGACTATGTAACCAGGGTGGCCTGGAACTCACAGAGATCTACCAACCTCTGGCTCTGGAGTTATGGGATTAAAGATGTGTGCCATCATGTGCAATACCAACATTTTTTTTTTTTTTGGTCTTTTTTTGAGACCCCCAAAGAAGCCCCAGCTGGCCTGGAACACACTATATAGACCAGGCTGGCCTTGAACTCATAGAGATCCGCCTGCCTGTGCCTCCCAAGTGCAATATGAACATTTTAAAAAACAATTTTCGGGGCTGGAGAGATGGCTCAGTGGTTAGGAGCACTGGCTGCTCTTATAGAGGACCCAGGTTCGATTTCCAGCACCCACATGGCAGCTAATGACTGTCAGTAACTCCAGTTCCAGAGAAATCCAATGCCCTCTTCTGACTTCTGAGGGCATTGCATGACACAGGTGCACTTATATACATGCAGGCAATACACTTATAAGATAAAAATAATATTTAAAAAAATTAATTTTCTAATCCCAGCACTCGGGAGGCAGAGGCAGGTGGATCTCTGTGAGTTCAAGGCCAGCCTGGTCTACATAGTGAGTTCCAGCACAGCTGGAGCTACAGGGAGATCTTGTCTCAAAAAGACCAAAATAATAATAATAATAATTTTCTTTGGCAGTTTCTCATGAAAAGCACTAACCGAAAATCTTTAATGTTATTTTCTATGTTAGAATACTTTTTTCATTGGAAGTATATCACGAGCGAAGTATGATGCACAACTGTAATCCAAGCACTTCTGAGACTGAGGCTTTGGGATCACTTAAGACCAGCCTAGGCTACAATGCAAGTCTGAGGTCAGCAAGTCAAGTGTTGCACAACATGGGTGCACTTATACACATGTGGGCAATACACTCAAACACATAAAATAAATGTATTACCCGCATGTGTATAAGTGTACCCATGTTGTGCAATGCCCACAGAGGTCAGAATAGGTGGTCAGATACCTGGGAACTAGTGTTACAGGTGGTTATTAACTGCCATGTGGGTGCTGGGAATGGAATCTGGGTCCTCTGCAAGAGCAGCCAGTGCTCTTAACAGCTGAGCCACTTCTCCCCAATAAAATATTTTTTAAAAAAGAGTGAGACCCTATCTCATCTCTCTCCCTCCCTTTCTTTCCTTTTAACAGTTTTTAAAAAATTTTTATTCAAGGTTTTTGATTGCTAGGAGGCTTACTGGGATGAGTGTAGTGCTGGCAAAGGCCTGAAGATGGCAACAGGGCTGCCATGTGCGTGTTGAGAATCAAACCCAGGTCCTCTGGAAGAACATCAAGTGCTTTTAAGCTCTGAGCCATCTCTCCAGCCCCTTTTCTCTCCCTTGCAGTTCCTCCTTTTCTTTTTCTATTTCTCATTCTCTCTTCCCTTCTCCCTTCTTTTTCTCTTTCTCTTTCTTGGTTCTTGTGGTTAAATCCACATGTGGTTAATCCCACATGCTAGGTAAACTACCTCTGAGTCACATCTCTATACCTCATTAAGTCCTAAAATTAATGTTTTATTCTGCTTTAACAGCTCAAATTTTCTTATTTTGTTTTGAGACAGGGTCTCACTATGTAGCCCAGGCTAACCTTGAACTTGCAACTGTCTTCCTGCCTCAGCCTCTTGAGTGCTAGGATTAGAGTTGTGTTCCATCATATCTGGTGTATTAGTCAGGGTTCTCCAAAGAAACAGAACTAGTAGAATGAATATATATGTATAGGGATTTATCAGCTTAGCTCACAGGATAGAGTCCGAGTAGTCCAACAATGGCTGTACCACAATGGAGAGGCTGAGAATCCATAGTCGCTCAGTCCACGAGGCTGGATGTCTCAGTAGTCCCAATCTGGTGCTGAAGGTCTGATGAATTCCAAAAGATCAGCTAGTCTTCAGTCTACAGCAGCAAGACAAATTCACCAGCAAGAGAGAGAAGAAAGAAGCAAAAAAACATTCTCCTCTGCCATCAGAAGGTAACACCTACATTTAGAGTGTGTCTTTCAGCTTCAAATGATCCAATTAAAATCTCTCTCATTTCAGTTAATTCCAAATCCAGTCAACTTGATACCCAGGATTAGCCATCACATCTGGCTAGCAAATTTAATTTAAAATTAAGGTGGTTAGTGCTGTTTCTAATAATATGCATGAAGTGCCAATAGGTCTTTGTAAAGCCAAGGTAGGCTACTACTTCCCGGGAGCCAGGCAGGATTACAGGAAATTGTGAAGGCATAAGCACCTGTTTCATCTTGTCACTGTTCCAACAGAACTCTGAAATCTAGAATATATGGCCTGTGGCCGTATTTAGGATAGTATACATAATGCTTGAGATTTCCATTGTTTTATAGTATTTGTCTCCATTTTCCTTATTAGCTAAATTTGATTTTGTATTAAATATTTTGATTTTATATAACCATTGCCATTTTAGTAGCTTTATACTGTGACAAACTGTGAGAGTAGCTTTGAAAAACTCCTGAGCTGTATTTGTGAACTCAAAAAAGCAGCGCTGTTAAAGAAGTAAGGTGGGTTTTTTTGTTTTGTTTTTGAGATACAGAGTCTCCTTATAATCCCCAGCTGCCCTGAACTTGCTTTGTAGACCAGAAGACTGGACTTGATCTCAGAGAGATCCACCTGCCTCATCCTCCTGGGTTTGGGGATTAGTGAATGCCACCACGCCAGGCATTAAAGAAGAGTTCTGGTTTTTTTTTGTTTTTTTTTTTGTCTTTTTGAGACAGGGTCTCCCTGTAGCCCCAGCTGTCCTGGCACTCACTATGTAGACCAGGCTGGCCTTGAACTCACAGAGATCTGCCTGCCTCTGCCTCCCAAGTGCTGGGATTAAAGGCATGCACCACCACGCCTGGCCTTATGTATTATTATTATTATTGTTATTATTATGTGTATTCATGTATTGCCTGCATAAGTGCTCCCGTGTGCAATACCCGTGGAGGACTTGAGGCTGTCAGATCCCCTGGGACTGAAGTTACGGACAGTTGTTAGCTGTCATGTGGGTGCTGGGACTCAAACCTGGGTCTTCTGCAAGAACAATCAGTGTTCTTAACTGCTGAGCCATCTCTCCAGCCCCTAAAGAAGTGTTTTAAATTATTATTGTCGATTTTAAGACAGGGTCTCATGTCCAGCCCAGGCTGCTTTAAACATACATGTAGCTAGGCTGACTTCGGTATGCACCCTAGTGCTATAGCCTCTTGTGTGCTGGGCTTTCCCACCACATCTGGCAGAACCTAAAAAAATTTATTACATTAAAAATTGAGTGCACGTGCATGTGTGCGCACATAGGAGCAAGCATTAGTGTGGCAGGGGATGTGTGGTGGTGCCCATGTGAAGGTCAGAAGATAACCTGTAGGAGTCAGTTCTCTCTTCTACCAGGTGGGGCATGGGGATTGAACTCAGGTCATCAAGCAC